AGGGAAGGAGTTAATGAACATGAAGGAATTGTGGGAATTAATTCGTCTGGTTGTATGACAGATGTCAGATTTATGGTTGGTTACAATATGACGCACATCTTAGGCTGCATTCACACTTGAGAGATTTGTAGCTTGAAGCTCCAAAATCGTTCAAAAAAAAAAAATTTTTTTTAATCGCTTTCCATATATATTGTACATTCCATCAGTCCCGCCCCCGCGGAGCATTCAATCTAAGGTCCCTAACTCACATTCATACATACACATACTAGGGCCAATTTAAACAGGAGCCAATTCACCTACCAGCATGTCCTGCAGCCACCAAATGCCAGTAGGAGGAGGAGGAGGAGCCGGCTTATGCCAGTAGGAGGAGGAGGAGAGCCGGCTTATGCCAGTAGGAGGAGGAGGAGCCGGCTTATGCCAGTAGGAGGAGGAGGAGCCGGCTTATGCCAGTAGGAGGAGGAGGAGCCGGCTTATGCCAGTAGGAGGAGGAGGAGCCGGCTTATGCCAGTAGGAGGAGGAGGAGCCGGCTTATGCCAGTAGGAGGAGGAGGAGCCGGCTTATGCCAGTAGGAGGAGGAGGAGGCTTATGCCAGTAGGCTGTATGCCAGTAGGAGGAGGAGGCTTATGCCAGTAGGAGGAGGAGGCTTATGCCAGTAGGAGGAGGAGGCTTATGCCAGTAGGAGGAGGAGGCTTATGCCAGTAGTAGGAGGAGGAGGCTTATGCCAGTAGGATGGAGCGGCTTATGCCAGGAGGAGAGGCTTATGCCAGTAGGAGGAGGAGGCTTATGCCAGTAGGAGGAGGAGCCGGCTTATGCCAGTAGGAGGAGCCGGCTTATTCCAGTAGGGAGGAGCCGGCTTATGCCAGTAGGAGGAGGAGGAGCCGGCTTATGCCAGTAGGAGGGAGAGCCGGCTTATGCCAGTAGGAGGAGGAGGAGCCGGTTTATGCCAGTAGGAGGAGGAGGAGCCGGCTTATGCCAGTAGTTAGGAGGAGGAGGAGCCGGCTTTATGCCAGTAGGAGGAGGAGGAGCCGGCTTATGCCAGTAGGAGGAGGAGGAGCCGGCTTATGCCAGTAGGAGGAGGAGGAGCCGGCTTATGCCAGTAGGAGGAGGAGGAGCTGGCTTTCACCCAACGGGTAGCAGGAGGAAAATGGAGAAGCTCGGTTCCTGTATATACCGCCCCCGCGGCCATTCATGTCCAAGTGTAAAACACAATTTGACAGAGAGGCCGCATGGGCCCCCTGGAGCATAGGGCTTGATCACCATTGTAAATCCTGATGCTACACGAGTGGTTGGAGGTGTGTGGTTAAAAACACATCTCAATTCAAGCCCATACTGTCCTGAGTCCCCCCCCCAGCATGTCTTTTGGAGTGTGGGAGGAAACCAGGGAGTACCCGGAGGAAACCCACGCAGGCACAGGGAGAACATGCAACTCCAGGCAGGTGGTGCCAATTCATGGTGGAGATCCTTTGTTTGCATGGATATTCTACTCTAGACACACATATTGGACTGATATTTGTATCGTTCCTCTTGTTTTATGGGCGCTGCACTTGCGTTTGGGTTCATTTCAAGTGTTTAGGTGTCCTTTTTATCATGCAGCGGTACATGGCCGCCGCTCAGATCTCCGGCATTCCCAGAGGAGAGAGTTCTCCTCTGAATGCCTTTTTATGAAGCGGTGTAGATCACTTCTCCGAATGAAGGGAGAATCGATCTACAAACATTTTGAACGCTAGAAAACGGCTGCTTTTACTTCAATCACGTGAGATTACAGGAAGATGTCAGTCTAACACAGTTTACTAGGCAGCGGTGAATGACCTCTGCTTTGTTGGCGGTTCCCCCGATCCTCCAGCTCTGGGATGGAGAATCTGGAGGGAGAACACAGATCTCCTTGAAGGGCTGACATCGTTCCTTCATAGACTGGCCATCTGTGTGCTGAGATGATCAGCGGGGAACGTTCTCCACTGATCATCTGTTTCCTCAACCACTAATGATCGGAGATCAGCAACGATCCTCAGGGATGGCCGCTGATCTCTGTTTCCGATAAATCCGGCGGTGAGGAATCAACCCATTTGCATCCTCGCTTCCTGTCAAACACCTCTGAAAAGTGATCCAAGTTCGAATGGCTTTTCAGAGAAGCGGTAGTCCTTGCTGCACTTCCGAATGAACCCTAAAAGAAAGTGTCACCCGTTTGGTGATTGTAGGTGTTGTCGTTTCTGGCCCCTTTCAGAGACGCACGCAGTTTTTGGGGGGGCCAGGCGTGTTTGGTATCTATTTACTTGACGCGCTCTCCTTTTTTTTATTGGGTACAAAAATGATTATATTGTGTTTGGGAGAACAAACATTGATTTTAATGTATTCTTTTTTAATTGGAAGTATAGATAAGAATACATTTCTCTGGCAGTGTGTGGGCTTTCACTTTAAATCGGTAGAGGAAATGTGATGGTCTCTGTCCTGAGGTTCGGGACTTTCTTGTTGGCTGAGAGGATTTCAGGAAACGGAGAGTTTTTGTAGTAATTAGAGGTTGTGACGCGGAGAAATGCTGTTTCCCCATTTCAGATCCCTTCCGTGTTCTGTCTGCTTACCAGCTGAGATCCCTTCCGTGTTCTGTCTGCTTACCGGCTGAGATCCCTTTTCCGTGTTCTGTCTGCTTACCAGCTGAGATCCCTTCCGTGTTCTGTCTGCTTACCACCTGAGATCCCTTCCGTGTTCTGTCTGCTTACCGGCTCAGATCCCTTCCAGTGTTCTGTCTGCTTACCACCTGAGATCCCTTCCGTGTTCTGTCTGCTTACCGGCTCAGATCCCTTCCGTGTTCTGTCTGCTTACCGGCTCAGATCCCTTTCGTGTTCTGTCTGCTTACCGGCTCAGATCCCTTCCGTGTTCTGTCTGCTTACCGGCTCAGATCCCTTCCGTGTTCTGTCTGCTTACCGGCTCAGATCCCTTCCGTGTTCTGTCTGCTTACCGGCTCAGATCCCTTCCGTGTTCTGTCTGCTTACCGGCTCAGATCCCTTCCGTGTTCTGTCTGCTTACCAGCTCAGATCCCTTCCGTGTTCTGTCTGCTTACCGGCTCAGATCCCTTCCGTGTTCTGTCTGCTTACCGGCTGAGATCCCTTCCGTGTTCTGTCTGCTTACCGGCTGAGATCCCTTCCGTGTTCTGTCTGCTTACCGGCTGAGATACCTTCCGTGTTCTGTCTGCTTACCGGCTGAGATCCCTTCCGTGTTCTGTCTGCTTACCGGCTGAGATCCCTTCCGTGTTCTGTCTGCTTACCGGCTGAGATCCCTTCCGTGTTCTGTCTGCTTACCACTGCTGAGATCCCTTCCGTGTTCTGTCTGCTTACCGGCTGAGATCCCTTCCGTGTTCTGTCTGCTTACCGGCTCAGATCCCTTCCTTGTTCTGTCTGCTTACCGGCTCAGATCCCTTCCGTGTTCTGTCTGCTTACCAGCACTTCAGTTTTTGTGCACTGTTAAAGTGATACGAAGTCCTGTTTTTTACAGCGAAGTCCTCGCGCGCACGGGGCGTTTTTACAGCGAAGTCCTCACGTTTTTACAGCACACTGGACGTTTTTACAGCGAAGTCCTCACGGGCACACGAAGTCCTCGCGCGCACGGGGGACGTTTTTACAGCGAAGTCCTTTTTTACAGCGAAGTCCTCATGCACGCACGGAATGTTTTTACAGCTGCTGTTTTTGGCGTTTGCGTTTTTTTTTCAACATCCAGTAAACCCCCCAGCCTGTTATCCTCGGTGTCCACACACACATAGACTTGAATCAGCGTGTTTTTGGCTGGAAAAAAATCCCCCAGAACTAGTGGGCTTCTAGGATTTTTTTTCAGCTGTAAAAATGTTCTAACTCTGAAAAATGCATGGTAAAATGCCGCAAACCGACGTGTTTGGACTTTTTTTTTTTAAAACCCCCCCCCAATTTTTTTTTTTTTTTTAAAAAAAAGCACTAAAAAAACGCAAATGCGGAAACGCCGCTAAAAACGCATATGTAAAAATGCTAAAAAAAAAAAAAAAAAAAAAAAAAAAGCCAAAAAACTCTGGTTTTTAACGTGACTATACACAGCTATCTTTGCCTAAAGCTCAAACACCGCTAGATGGAAAATGCTGGTAATAGCCTTTTTTAGGAACATTGGCATTTTATTCGAATTTTTACAGTACATATAAAGGTAAAAAAAACAAAAAAAAAAAAAAAAGATAGAAATAAGCTGTTCAGAGCATTTAGCGTTTTTTTTTTTCTGCTGTATGTCCATACACACAACTATTTAGCTTCTAGGATCAGAAAAAAATGCTGCTAACAGCTTCTAGGAGCTTAAAAAAATGCTAGTATGCATGGAGCCTGAATGTACTGTGTGTCTAAAGTTAGGGAAGTAGCAGATCCTGGAATATTGATGAAGGTCTCGCCACTGAAGTTGCAGTTTTTTGTTTTTTATTTTTTGTTCAGTTTTTTTTGTTTGTTTTATGTTTTTTTGTTTGTTTGTTTTTTTTCGTTTTTTTTTTTTTGTTGTTTTGGGTTATTTTTGTTTGTTTTTTCTGTTTTTTTTTTTAATGTTTGTTTTTGGGGTTTTATTGTTTTTTGTTTTCTGTTTTTTTTTCTTTTTTTTTTTGTTTTGTTTTTTTATTTGTTTTTTTGGGTTATTTTTGTTTGTTCTGTTTTTTTTTTTTGTTTTTTTATGTCTGTTTTTGGGATTTTATTGTTTTTTGTTTTCTGATTTTTTTTTTTTTTTTTTTTACCAAACTACAGTAGAAGATGATTGCGTCCATTCGACTCCATCCACCCTATAGCCCGCGTTCACAACGATGCGGTGCGGAATTCGCAGCATTATCAGGGCGGATTCCGCACCTCATCAGAATCGCACTCCGTTCATGCGATCCGTGTGTATGTTAACACCCCGAAAGCGGTCCTCCAAAACGCGGTGCGACGTGCAGAATCGGATCCCTTAGGTGTGAATATTCATGCGATCCGATTCTAGTGCGGACCCAAAAAAAAGGTCCTGCACTTTTTTGGTGTGAATAAAGCCTCCAATCGCACCGCACACAAATCGCATGTGATTTGTACGGGAAGCTGGCGCGGTTCTTGTGCGAATCACATGCGATGTACTGCACGTATGTGAACCCGGGCGTACAGAGATGATTGTATTTGGGTGGACCAGGGGCGGACTGACAACTCATGGGGGCCCCCGGGCAATAGGGGATCATGGGGCCCCTGTGTCCTTGCCCAAACTCAAACCACACCCAAAAAAGCCTATGAAAGGTACCAGGGACATCTCATGGGGCCCCCTACCAGGGGCGGACTGACAACTCATGGGCCCCCGGGCAATAGGGGATCATGGGGCCCCTGTGTCCTTGCCCAAACGCAAACCACACCCAAAAAGCCTATGAAAGGTACCAGGGACATCTCATGGGGCCCCCTACCAGGGGGACTGACAACTCATGGGGCCCCCCGGGCAATAGGGGATCATGGGGCCCCTGTGTCCTTGCCCAAACTCAAACCACACCCAAAAAAGCCTATGAAAGGTACCAGGGACATCTCATGGGGCCCCCTACCAGGGGCGGACTGACAACTCATGGGGCCCCCGGGCAATAGGGGATGCCCAAACTCAAACCACACCCAAAAAAGCCTATGAAAGGTACCAGGGACATCTCATGGGGCCCCCTACCAGGGGCCCTGTGCCCCCTTGCCCAAACTCAAACCACACCCAAAAAAGCCTATGAAAGGTACCAGGGACATCTCATGGGCCCCCTACCAGGGGCGGACTGACAACTCATGGGGTCCCCGGGCAATAGGGGATCATGGGGCCCCTGTGTCCTTGCCCAAACTCAAAAAAGCCTATGAAAAAGGTACCAGGGGCATCTCATGGGGCCCCCTACTGACCCCGGGCCCTCGGGCAGCAGTGCCCGAGTTCCCAAATGGTCAGTCCGCCCCTGGGGGGGAGTGATCCTTTGAAATGTCCTCTTCCAGTCTCCTCCTTGGCATCGCTCTGAACTTTCTCTCTGTTGCTTCTGTTTTAATCAGCTGGAAGAGGAGAGCTGAATAGTCTGCTGCTGTCAGAGGAACCTGCAGAACCCGCCGTGCCCCTCCCCAGCTTGCAGGGCCTCTCCGCTCTCCCAGCAACAAAGGTTTCAATTTCACATTATTCAGACTCACATCAATGGCCGATGTCGCAGGGGGGAGGGGGGCCCGCCGCTCATTTTCTGGTTGAAAGAAAACTTCTCTTCTGAAACTTGTTGGGGGACGAGTTTCGGTGGTAGGCTGAGAACATGGGGAGCGTTGTGTAAATTGTCCGCCTGAATAAAGGCCGGACGTGTTTCTAGTGTTCTGTGCTCCTCGCTAGAATACTGAGCGTTCTGGGGGCTTATTTATTTTGTTTGCTTTAAATCTCATGACTATAATATCGCCCAAACCGTCCTCACACGACCTCCTACTCTCTAGCTCCCTCGTCTCCTCCTCACATGCTCGTCTCCAGGACTTCTCCAGAGCTTCCCCCATCCTCTGGAAACTCTCTACCCCAATTTATCAGACTATCGCCTACTCTTCTCACTTTTAGGCGATCTCTGAAAACCTATCTCTTCAGGGAAGCCTATCCTGCCCTCAGCTAATAATGGAATCTTCTACTCTTCCAACCAGTCCATCCCCCACAGTTATTACCTTTTGTATCACTAGCCCCTCCCTCCTAGATTGTAAGCTCCAAAGGATCAGGGCCCTCCTATCCCTCTTGTATTGAACTGTATTGTTGCTGTATTGTCTTATTTTTTTTTATATTGTGAAGCTCTGAGCAAACTGTTGGTGCTATATAAATCCTGTATTATCCTGTATAATAATAATATATAAATCCTGTATAATAATAATATATAAATCCTGTATAATAATAATATATAAATCCTGTATAATAATAATAATATATAAATCCTGAATAATAATAATATATAAATCCTGAATAATAATAATATATAAATCATGTCTAATAATATATAAATCATGTATAATAATTCTTATATAATAATATCATGTCTAATAATATATAAATCCTGTATAATATAATAATATATAAATCCTGTATAATAATAATAATATATAAATCCTGTATAATAATAATATATAAATCCTGTATAATAATAATATATAAATCCTGTATAATAATAATATATAAATCCTGAATAATAAATAATAATATATAAATCCTGAATAATAATATATAAATCCTGTCTAAATAATATATAAAATAATAATATATAAATCCTGTATAATAATAATAATATATAAATCCTGTATAATAATAATATATAAATCCTGAATAATAATAATATATAAATCCTGAATAATAATAATAATATATAATCATGTATAATAATATATCTAATCCTGTATAATAATAATATATAAATCCTGTATAATAATAATAATATATAAATCCTGAATAATATAATAATATATAAATCCTGAATAATATTAATAATAATATAAATCATGTATAATATATAAAATCCTGTATAATAATAATATATAAATCCTGTATAATAATATATAAAATAATAATAATAATATATAAATCCTGTATAATAATAATAATATATAAATCCTGTATAATAATTATTGTTATACAGTATTTATAAAGCGCCGATAGTTCGCTCAGCGCTGTACATTACAAAGGGGAACAGAACATGTGACAGAACAAACCAATACAATGCAAAACATGAGGGGGATGGAGGGCCCTGCTCTTTCGAGCTTACAATCTAGGAGGGAGGGGGGGTGGTACAGGAGGAGATAGCTGTGGGGGATGGGGTGGTAGGAAGAGTGGAGGAGCTCGACAAGTTAGCAGGGGGGGTGGGGTAGGCTTCTCTGAAGAGATGGGTTTTCAGGGTGCGACTAAAGGAGAGGAGAGTAGGTGATAATCTGATGGGTTGGGGCAGAGAGTTCCAGAGGATGGGTGACACCCTGGAGAAGTCCTGGAGGCGGGCATGGAAGGAGAAGACCAGGGAACTAGAGAGAAGGAGGTCTTGTGAGGAGCGGGGTGTGCGTGTTGGGTGGTATTTGGATATTAGGTCGGTGATGTAGTACGGGGCAGTATGATAATGACTAAAAGTTGGCCACTGCTGATTTTGGGTTCCCAAAATGAGTCCTTCAAAACTACCCAGCACTTCTGAGGTCCCCATATGATCGGCCGCTAGTCATCGGATATCTGTGCGGTTGTGTGAGGCTAGTATCTGACCTTTTGCCTAAGATCAAGTGTAGTATCTGTTCTGGTCAGTGTCCAGTAGGGGCGCTCCGCTGTCATTCTTGCCTTTTGGTGGCTGTCTAGTACCCTGCTGGTATGATGGGGGACTTGGAAGGCTTAGTACCCCGGCCGGAACAGAATGGGGGAACACAGCAGCGCTGATCTGAGTGTTTGTAAATCAATAAAACCTAATAATGGTCAAAACAACTCAAAATGGCTCGCAGGAGATAAAATATAGACTCTTCTTTCCAAACTCTGCTCCGGCCCATGTCAGATGGATACCACTGTGGGCGCCATCTCTCGGTCGCACTGGTGGTTTTCCAGAGTTCCAAGGATGCTGGGAGATCCAAGGCTGATAGCTGTGATGTCACCGGGAAACGGAAGGAAGAGGGCCAGCAAACTGATTGGCACATGTTTTGGAGCAATCGGAGCATGCGTGCTCCTCAGGCTGTAATGGAGCAGAAAACTTAGGCGCCCACAGGTTGTTAGGTCCCGGGAGTAATTCCCGCGGGAAAACCAGATGGGCCCAATTTCTCCTGGTTTGAATGAGTCTACCTTGTCTGGCCATGGGCTGAGAAGGCAGAGAGTCCGTGGTGTGGTCGCCCTGGGTTGCTCTTACTAACACTTGGTGTGGGACCCCACGGTGTGAACAAGCACATGGTCACGGCACTAAATTTTTTTTCTGCACTGTGCCT